CTACTTCCTCAGGTTGAGGGCTGACCCCCTGACACTATTTCCCCAAAGGGTTTGAGGACGACCCCCTACACACTTCCTCAAGGGTTAGGGCGACCCCCTGACACAAAATTCCCAATTTAGGGACGACCCCCTGACCTATTTCCTAAAGGTTGAGGACTGCCCCCCCGAACTACCCCCAAAGGGTTGAGGGACGACCCCCTGACACTACTTCCTCAAGTTTGAGGGACTGACCCCCTAACACTCTTCCTCAAGTGGGCCCCCCCTGACACTATTTTCCTAAAAGTTGAGGGACGACCCCCTGACACATTTCCCTAAAGTTGGGGGACGACCCCCTGACACTACTTCCTCAAGTTGGGGGACTGACCCCCTAACACACTTTCCTAAAGGTGGGGGGTACCCCCTGACACTATTCCCAAGGTTGGGGACGACCCCCTGACACTACCCCCCAAAGGGTTGGGGGACTGACCCCCCTGACACTACTTCTCAAGGTGAGATGCCCCCCTGACACTTTCCTAAAGGGTTTGAGACTGACCCCTGACCTACTTCCTAAAGGTTAGGGCTACCCCCTGACCTACTTCCTCAAGGTTGAGGACTGACCCCCTACACTACTTCCTAAAGGGTTGAGGACTGACCCCCTGACACTATTTTCCAAGGTTGGGGGACTGACCCCCACACTATTTCCTCAAGGTTAGGGGGACGACCCCCTACACTACCCCCAAAGGGTTGAGGGACTGCCCCCCTGACACTACTTCCCAAAGGTTGGGGGACGACCCCCTGACACTACTTCCTAAAGGTTGAGGGACGCCCCCCTGACACTACTTCCTCAAGGTTAGGGACTGACCCCCTGAACTACCCCCAAAGGGTTGGGGGACTGATCCCTTGACACATTTCCTAAAGGTTGGGACTGACCGCACCACTTCCCCCCACTATTCTACCACCATATTACCACCTCTGTATTTCGACTGATGAAGCCTACTATTAGCGAAACGTTTAGAAAAAAAAACCCATTTTTACATTTTCCGACTTACCCACTTCAGGGATCCCTAAAAAAATCCCTTTTTAGGTGGGTATTAACTCGTCAACAGACCGTGTTTCCTGACGGGGGGCTTAGTCATATGAGACCCCACTGGGGCTTTTTGGGCATCGACCGAGGCCTTCCGCTCTTTACCCCCCCACCCCTTAAAATTATGGTATATTCAACTACTTACTATGACGCCTCTTTAAATACCTAGCAGGGCTACATCACGGAAAAGGGGGGGGATTTTTAACCCATGGAAGTGAGACTAATCTTTACCCCTTTTAAGGTTTATATTACCGCCCTGGTTCAAATCCGACTTTTTGTGTAAATTTCCCTATAATCTACAATAGGGGCCATATATAACTTTTTGACCCGAAACAACTTTCTAAACTTTTAAAAGTAAAGTACTTACTCCACATCCACAAAGGGAGAGACGGTGTTTTGTGAGAGGACTAAACTCACAGGAGGCTGTGGTTTCCCTCTGAGCGAGATCCAACACCCCCCCATTATTTTTTTTTATGGCCCAGGGGGGGTTCACACCGGGCCGGGGCAGTATGCCACCACTCCCTGGCACTGCGCAAAACCCACCAACACTCCCACAATAACCGCCGCTGGTCATAAATACCCAGTATTAGTCAAACTTTTCCCCCTCTCTGAGTGTCTCCTTGGCGGACCACATTTTTGGGGGCCCCGAGCGTTACGGGGGGCCCCCTTCACAACCAGGTCTGGGTAACACTGTTAACTTCTTCAGATTCTGTCATATATGTTAACACTGATTTAAATTATTTGTAATTATTTTATATTATATATATTTGCAATGAAATATCTTTAATCTCAACTTTTTTTTTCGTTTACGGCCTAGCTAGGCCTAGCCAGACCTAGCCAGGCCTAGCCAGGCCTAGCCAGACCTAGCCAGACCTAGCCAGACCTAGCCAGACCTAGCCAGACCTAGCCAGCCTAGCCAGACCTAGCCAGACCTAGCCAGCCTAGCCAGGCCTAGCCAGACCTACCAGACCTAGCCAGGCCTAGCCAGACCTAGCCAGGCCACTTAGCCAGACCTAGCCAGACCTAGCCAGACCTAGCCAGACCTAGCCAGACCTAGCCAGACCTAGCCAGACCTAGCCAGACCTAGCCAGGCCTAGCCAGACCTAGCCAGACCTAGCCAGACCTAGCCAGACCTAGCCGACCTATCCAGGCCTAGCCAGACCTAGCCAGCCAGACCTCCAAGCCAGACCTAGCCAGACCTAGCCAGACCTACATCATACTTTAATAACTTTTATTTTCACTATTATGTTGTACTAAATTACACTACATTAATATTAGCATTTAAAAAAAAACTTCTCAAACAATAGACCCAAAATTTGTAAGCAATGTGGATTAAAGTCGCTTCTTGCGTCCCTCCAGGATTAGGGGCCCTGGAGCTTAAGATTCATTAGTTTCATAATAGGTCCACCCCTGCCCAAGGGCCATGATTGGGCCCCACGGGTTAAGCGCCTTTTCTCTGATTTAAAAAAAAATGTATGTTTATAAATCTTGAAACAAAGTACATGGACGATTTTTTTGTTACATTATCGTGTATAATATAAATAATTTGATCATTTTTGAACGCGACGTAGACAGGACGCGGACGTGAAGGTAAAGTTTGGAGGTGCAGGATGTAACTTTGAAGCCTTGAGAAGGATGTAGGATATAGGAGGGTGGGAGGGGAAGGAAGGGGGATGGAGGGAGGGAAGGTGGGAATGGAGGGACGGAAGGAGGGGGTGGAGAGAGGAAGGGACGTAAGGAAGGGGAGGAAGAGAGGAGGAAAGGAAAGAGACGGGGAAAGAGGGAGGGAGGAAAAGAAGGAGGGGGGAGGAACCCTGTGTAAAAAAAAAAAAAAAAAAAAAAAAAAGGAAGGAAGGGGGAGGAAAGGAAGGAGGGGTGGAGGGAGGGGAAGGGGGGGGTTACAGGAAACTCTTCAATAGCTTACTGGTCACTCAGAATGAAGTCATTCCTAACTTCACACACTGCAACACTCAACGTAATGCGTGTGAGTGTACATGTTTCACCTACATGTGGTTGCAGGGGTCGAGTTTCAGCTCTTGACCCCGCCTTTTCACTGGTCACTACTAAGTCACTCACCCTGCTCCATGAGCTTTATCATACCTCTTCTTAAAGCTATGTATGGATCCTGCCTCCACCACAGCACTCTCCAGAGTATTCCACTTCCTGACAATTCTATGACTGAAAAAGTACTTCCTAACATTCCTGTGACTCATCTGAGTCTTCAACTTCCAGTTGTGACCCCTTGTTGCTGTGTCACATCTCTGAAACAATCTGACCCTAACTACCTTGTCAATTCCTCTCAGTATTTTGTATGTCGTTATCATGTGTCTCTTATCTCTCCTGTCCTCCAGTGTCTTCATGTCTATTTCCCTTAAAGTTTCCTCGGGACTAGTCTTGTTGCAAACTTTTGTGTGTGTGTCTGTGTGTGTGTCGTGTCTGTGTATGTAGTATGTAGTATGTATGTATGTATGTATGTATGTATATGTAGTATTATACTCACTAATGTGGTTGCAGGGGTCGAGACTCAGCTCCTGGCCCCGCCTCTTCACTGAACGCTACTAGGTCCTCTCTCTCCCTGCTCCATGAGCTTTATCATACCTCGTCTTAAAGCTATGTATGGTTCCTCCCTCCACTGCCTCACTTGCTAGACTATTCTACTTCCTGACTACTCTATGACTGAAGAAATACTTCCTAACATCCCTTTAACTCATCTGAGTCTTCAATTTCCAAGTGTGATCCCTTGTTTCTGTGTCCCATCTCTGGAACATCCTGCCTCTGTCCACCTTGTCTATTCCACGTAATATTTTGTATGTCGTTATCATGTCTCAACTAACCCTCCTGTCGTCCAGTATGTATGCATGTATGTATGTGTGTATATATGTATGTATGATTGTGTATGCGTGTGAGTGTACATGCGCATAGATTTTCATGAATGTATATTTCTGCAGGTGTATGTTTGCATTTGTCAGCATGTGCGCGTGTAGACGTGGTGAGTGGACGGATGGGTGACCAGTACACACAGTGTTGTCCTTGGAGAGAGAGAGAGAGAGAGCGGGACCTTGATAAAACAAGGTCATGCTGACCTTGTTAATGACAAACTGAGTGCACCATCTCTACACTGTGATTCACACATTATAATAATAAATAATAATATAATAATAATAATAATAATAATAATAATAATAATATAATAATAATAATATAATATAAAGTAATAATTGCAAGGTAGTTTGTGGAGTGTAACATCAAGTGTGTCTTTATCAACACAACTCCGATACTCTTTTAAGACGAAATTTTATCGTAAATACTGTCTCCTTATCACTGTTTAATCTTACTTGTGTCCTTATCACTTTACAATCTTACACGAATCTCTCTTATCACTGTACAGATTTCACGTATCTCCTTATCACTGTACAGTCTTGTCTCCTCATAACTGTACTATCTTACTTGAATCCCTCTATCTTGTTTCCACTCTAAATTAATATAAACTAATTAGTGATCCGAGGAAGTTATCCCGTATTCCACAACGCCAGTCCCCCTTTGCCTCAATTTATGCAATTGGAATAGTGCAGAATGCGTCATAAGTTGATAATGAAGTTAAGTATTAATGTTGAATATTTCATGTGCAGTCAGAAGAGGCAGTCACAAGTCATCATATGGAAACTAATATAATTTTTTAATTAAAAATTGTAAATTAGGACACGTGAGGTCGAAATCTAATTCAGACCTTCCTCAGAGACCAATACTGGACGGGGTGTTCTGGGGTTAAAGGCAAAATAAAATCGATATGTAGGAGGAAGAAAATGTAGGCAGCCTCTTGAAGGTCCTCCTTCGAGGGTACATAATAATAATAATAATAATAATAATAATAATAATAATAATAATAATAATAATAATAATAATAATAATAAATACTGTATATAAAAGTCGAGTGGGAAATAAAAGATTATTTTCGTGAACTGTAATTTATTTTTCAGTCGAGCCATGTGTATGATACAATAACAAGAGCCTACAGCCTCTCCTATATGAGGTGACACAAGTGTCAGATACACATATGAAAGAGACACAGGTGCTCTAACATGCATTTGGCTTCCATGTAAAAAAATGTGAAAAATACTACGGAATGACGAGGCTTACCTAAGAGTCTTTGGTCGGAGTGTGAGCAAAGTTGTTACTTGTCGCCTCAGACTGGCTGCTGTCACCAGTCTCAGACTGGCTGCTGTCACCAGTCTCACACTGGCTGCTGTCACTAATCTCAGACTGGCTGCTGTCACTAGTCTCAGACTGGCTGCTGTCACCAGTCTCACACTGGCTGCTGTCACTAGTCTCAGACAGGCTGCTGTCACCAGTCTCAGACTGGCTGCTGTCACCAGTTTCAGACTGGCTGCTGTCACCAGTCTCAGACTGGCTGCTGTCACCAGTCTCAAGACCAGGTTTCAACCAGAAACACTGTCTTAAGACAGTTGCAGTAGTTTAAAGTTACTTTGGAAAGGTTTGTGTGTCCTGATATGTTAGTGGTGACGGTATGGTAACATCCAATTTGCACTTGTAAATAAACCTACAACACGAACACGTTTAACCATGAAAAAGTATGAAAATGTTCATGAATGAATGTCGCTTCAAAAAAGAAACAATATGTACGCCCCTGATTGTATATAAGACGAGGTCAAAGCGCTATGTGTCCTTTTCTGAGGGAACTTTCTTGCTAACCTTCGTCTTAGTCTTCTTGCCAATGACGATTTTAATCTTCTTTTTCACCTTGCCTTCTGACTGAGTGCTTTCAGACACTTGCTTCTCATTGTCGTCATCTATTTTGAAGCTTTTGTCACCTTCTTCATCTTGTCTTGTCTCACTCTTGTCACTTTGCTTCTCCTCTTTCCTCTTCTCTGTCTCCCTACTTCCTCCAGATGTCTTGATGGATTTCTTTTCTTCACTTTGCCCTTCAGATTCCTTGCAGCTATCAGTTCTGGGGTTTCTTGAGCGCAGGTGTCGAGGAAGAGAGTGTCGCAGGCAGCGATGTCAGCACAGAGACGTTCCTCGTCCACATCCCCGATGGCAGTGGCGGCAGAGTCTTCAGCAGTCTTGGAGTCACTTCCTCTCCTGCTGTGCCTCCTGGTACTGCCTCTGCGAGGTGCCAAAGAGAGCGACGTCTCCTCTCGAGGTGAGGCACCTGTTGTTGTCACCTTCGGTGTCTGTGGCACCGTCAGCCTTAAAACCACCTCCTCACCTGATACAAGGAGGTCATCACAAGGACCCATATCCAGCTGAGTGGGCTGAGATGAGTAGCAGTGGTAATTGAAGTTACTATTGTGCAGTGAATCCAGATAGTCTATGGCGTCTCCATTAGGTTTCCTGACCCACAAGAAGTTGTCATTGTCGTAGCCATTACAAGAGCTCCTTGTGTCGTAGTACTGCAGGTACTTATCCTTGGCTCGGTCATCCTGAAGATACTGCATCGTTTTCTCCTCTTTATCCCTTCTCTTGGTTTTGGTTTGATCAGTGTTCTTGTCCCTGCGTGTGAAGGGCGTCCGGTGTAGGTGGGCAGTGCCTCGGTGGATGACGTGGGCGGTGCGGACGGAGGTGTACATCGTGGGTGACTGGCGAGCGGCTCTGACGGGCGGCGAGGGTCGTGTAGGCGAGTCTTAGCAACCACAGGCTCCAGCGCCTCCAGCCTCCTGATGCTGAAGAAAGTACACGTTAGTTGAAACAGGTAGCAAACTTTACTCCAGGTAGCACACTAGGATGTACCTCAATTAACGAGAAAAAGTAATTCAAATTTAAAAATGATTAATAAGTAACAACTTGGAAAGGGAAGACAACTTGGGATTTGAAATTTCGCCATACTGCTGAATTCTTAATAGCAGCAGCAGCGATGAATAACCCACAATAATTCCTGTTTTCTATGAATACAAGAATAATAACAGCAGCATCAAAAGACAGAAGAGGAGGCAGAAGTGTTTATGGCAGCAGAAGCAGCAGTAATATTTACCTGGGAGCAGGCAGAAAGAGGCGCGAGGGTGGGTCAGCGTCCCAAAAATTGCTCACACTTCCTTCTGCAAACACACAATGCCACAATTAATTCTACATGAAGACTAATAAGTGACATGACCACTATTATTATTAAAGAGATATAAATGACTGAATACCAACTGTAGATACGGCAGGTTAAGTGAAAAAAATTAGTTTTATCCCAAAAGAGTCATTACCACATACATCTAGTCGCACAATATCTTTCAGCCAACGGTTATTTTACTTACTATTTAACACCCTCTAGTAAGGTCTGTAACAAGCAACCAAATTTCTGATCATGATACTTAGGAACACTGGAATGAATATTTTGATTGGACAACGTTTGACTTGCCAAATCTGTTTGCGTGCAGAATAAGTACTGGTAACCAAGCCAGACCTAGAGCTGTAGCTTCAAGAACTGCTGTACTTACCCTCTGTGTCGCTGATGGCCAGCCTGGAGGACATCAGCTCACCCATGCGCTCCATGTAGCTCTTGGTTGCTCCCTCCAGGTAGACACCAGGATCGTGATCTCTGAAACCTTCTGCATCGTAGCTATCCTGTGAGACAACACTGTCAGCTCTCTCTCTCTCTCTCTCTCTCTCTCTCTCTCTCTCTCTCTCTCTCTCTCTCTCTCTCTCTCTATCTATCTATCTATCTCTCTCTCTCTCTTTCTCTCTCTCTCTCTCGTCCCTTCACTGTGAGTAATTTTAGAGCAAAATCTAAACTGAGGGGACAACACATTCGTATACGTCATCAAAGAATGCAGAAAAAAATCCAACTGGACCTACTTGCTAGAAAAGTCTAGCTATGATAATTGGTACATAATACCGACAAGTATATGCGTTACAAATATGCTACGTTAGGATACTTTAATGAGGAGTCGTTTCCCCCACAGGGCCTTAAAGACCTCCTGGGGGGCGAAAAGTTTTTTAGGGCAATCCCAAAAGTTGCATTTTGAAAGTGTAAAGGAACCCCTTTTTAAGTTTTTTTCTGAGAGTTTTTCCTGTGGGTTTTAAAAAAGTTGTCACTCCCCTCTTGTTTTGTTTACGATCCATCTGTTTAGGGGAAAAAAAAAATTGTTGATAGATAACCTGGATGAGAGGACACACACACATCTAGGAGTAACGACAGTCCGAAACGTGTCCAATAAAGATGTCCTGAGCGTATAATCCTTGAGTCCTTTCATTCTACTGATTATTATTATTATTATAATCAAAAAGAAGCGCTAAGCCACAAGGACTATACAGCGCTGCAGGGCAGGAAGGAAGCGAGGGCATCAGGTGGCAAAAGGGAGATGGATGAGCAACAGGTTACGGATAACAGCGGGGCAGTGGATGGAAAAAGGGGTAAAGGGCAGCAAGAGACTGAACCAGAAAGGGCTGAGGGGAGTGCGAAAAGTATCATCAGAGTTTGTGGATTTAAATCAGTCGTTGTCAAGAAGTCAATGAGAGAGTCAGGATTAAAGGAGGGTCCTCACAAGAAGGGAAGGTAAAGAGAGAGTAGAGAACGAAGACGACGTTGGAGGTAAATTCTGCGTGCTCGTTGATAGAGAGGGCAGTCTAACAGAATGTGGCTAATCGATACTGGAACTTGACACTGCTCACAGAGAGGAACAGGGTGCCTCTCCATGAGATACCCATGAGTAAGACAGTGTGGCCAATGCAAGGCGGGAGAGAGTGGTCTCCCAACCTCGGCACTGATGACAAAAGAGGCCAGTAACCTATGCTGGGTTTAATAGAATGAAGTTTGTTACCGACAGAGTTGACCAACGTTGTTGCCAACGGGTGCGAAGGTGGGTAGCTATTGCAGCAAAATAGTCCGAAATGAACACCTCGATAGGAAATTGGTAGGTCATATACTGCTGACCGCGCAGCAGTGTCTGCCTGTTCATTGCCCTGTACTCGACATGACCAGGGACCCAACAAAAAACAATATCTTTATGTTTGGTAGAGATACGGCGTAGCCAAAGTTGGATACGGAGAATAGGGATGGATGTATCAAATTTCGTATAGCCTGTAGAGCACTAAGGATTTCTGAGACTACTACAAATGATGACACAGGCATAGATGCGATACGAATAAGTGCTGCAAGAAGGGCATACAGTTCAGCAGTAAAATGCTAGCTGAAAAATAGTAAATGCCCTCGTACACGCTGTCCCGGAAACACTGCTGCGAATCCGACGCCGTCTGAAGACTTGGGAGCCATCGTGTAAAACAGCGGTGGCATGAGAATGAGAGTGGAAGTGATCAAGAAAAAGAGAGCGGGAAGCCACCGTAGGCAGTTGAGCTTTCGAGCAAGGGAGTGAGAAAGAACACACCCGAACAGCGGGAAACTTCCCAGGGGGGTAGGGAAAAGTAAAGATGCAAACATGAACATATAAAGGTGGTAACTGAAGGGAAGACAAGAGTGAAAGTAGGCGAAGAGAAAAGGGACGGAGCAAACAGGGGGGGCGAACGAATAAAGAATGTCTACTAATATCGGTGAACCATTCTATAAATGGAAGGATTGTGTAGATCGTGAGAGCGTACATAGTAACGAAGGGAATGGGCATCACGGCGATCAGACAAGGGTGGAACATTTGCTTCTGTATAGAGGCTCTCAACAGGGGAAGAGCGAAAAGCACCAAGGCACAAACGTAAGCCTTGGTGATGGATAGAGTTAAGGCTAGAAGAGTAGCAGGAGAGGCCGCGGAATAAATCTGGTCACCATAATCGAGTTTCGATAAAACGAGGGCTGAATGTAGGCGAAGCAGATTCGACGATCAGCTCCCCAGGAAAGATGAGCAAGGGTTTTAAGAAGGTTTAGCCGGCTGTGACAAGTTGCCTTCAGAGAGGTAATGTAGGTTTCCAGGGTTTAAACCCACGGTCAAAGAGAAGGCCTAGAAACCTGACTGTATCACGTTCGGGATAGGGGAGCCATAGAGATACAAAGGATGATCGGAGATAACAAACGTCTATTTAAAGTAATTTGGTGAGTTTTGGACTTGAAATTTAAAAACCCATGTGTGGTGGCCCCAAGTGGAAACACGGTCGACCGCATGCGGAGAGAAACTGCAATAAGGTGACAGTCAAACGCCTGCACAAGCAATAGCGAAGTCATCAACATAGAGTGAATGACCAAATTTGGGTGGAAGAACAGAGGCCAAATCATTTTAGCAAGGAGAAAAATGTTGTGCTAAACACATCCCTGAGGACACCTTCAGCTTGGACGAAGTCCGGGGAAAGAACATTATTGACTCGAACACGGAAATGTCTGTCAGTTAAAAAGTTCTTAAGGAAGGATGGTAGATTGCCTCGGGGGCCTAAGGAATGGGCCTGGGCCAAAATATTATACCTCCAAGTTGTGTCAATATGCCTTCTCAAGGTCAAAAAATATGGCAATAACTGAGTGTTTATTCGCAAAGGCATTACGAACATACGTATCCAAGCGTATAAGGGGTCTAGGGTTTAAAACGACCCTTACGAAAGCCATATTGACTAGCGGAGAGACTGTTGTGAGTCTCTAAATACCACATTAAACGTCGATTTACGAGGCGTTCCATCACTTTGCAAACTGCACTTGTAAGAGCGATGGGGCGATAGTGGGAGGCATCATTCCTGTAGTACCCGGGTTTTCGGAAAGGGAGAACAATGGCAGATTTCCACAGCTGGGGAAAAAATCCTTGTGCCCAAATAAGATTGAGAGGTGTAAGAGGACTACAAGGGGTGACCGATGTAAATGTTGTAACATACGAATATGAATGTCATCAGGCCCAGCTGCCGATGATCGGCAAGCTGAAGCGTTGCCTCCAGTTCTTGAAGTGTAAAAGGCACAAATTTTACTGTTCTTCTCCGAGAGAAAAAAGTCAAGGTACTAACTCTCTTGGAGTTTGAGGAAAGAAAGAGGGCATAGATGGAGCCCTCGGGAAATACGGACAGATGTGTGAAGTTTTTAATGCAACGTCGAGAGGGTTTGCTATATCAAAAACCAGTGACCCTAGAACAGAAGCCGGGTCAGGAGAGTATTTACCACTCAATTTCCTCACTTTTTTCCGACCTGCACTCATAGAAGAAGCAGAGGTGAGGTGGTAAACATAGTCTCGCCAACAAGTGCGTTTAAACTTCAACGGATGACACGGCGAGCGATCGCACGCTTCTGCTTAAAAACAACAAGTCCTCAGCGTTCTATTGTACCGGTACCTGCCCCATGCAGCACGTTCAAACGTACTGCACGAGCACAAGCAGGAGACCACCAAGGCACGCACTTCTGAGAATGCCTGCCTGAGGTTTGGGTATAGAATGAGAAGCTGCGGTATAAACTGATGTCGAGAAGATGTGTAGGGGCTCATCAATGGGGGATGAAGAAGGAACCTCACTAAAAGCAGTGAGGTGTGAGTAAAGATCCCAATTTGCCCGATCAAAATTGCCAGCGAGGGCTACGGGAAGGTGGTGAATAGGAAGGAGAAGTAAAATGATCGGAAAATGACCTTATGTAAGTCTTTTTAAACGACCCGTGAAATCGTGCAGTGGAGGAAAAAGCAACTGATAGAAACGATGAAAGAGAGTAGATACAGGATCAAAATGG